TTGTGAAACCAGACAAATATGCTAGTCTTTAAGAAGAGATCAGATGAACCAACCAGGCTGCTAGAATTTTCAAATTTCAGAAAAAAAGGTTACATATCAGCAAATATGTAAACCAGAAGTGTATAGTTACGATCTACCTTTTTAGACTATTTGAGTTGGCAGTTTGGCAGAACTTGAATTGAATACCAAGTAGTAGGAATATGTTGTGAAGTCAGTATTAAGGTTAGAATAAACTTTACAAAGGCATAATGATTTAATAATACATTCTAATCACTAGTATTAGTCTTAGCTATAGTGATATTGGGTTAGCTGTAAGAATAGAATACAAAAGATTCTAGAAAGTTTAGTACAAGATCAAAGTTCTTTATATAAGTAAACTGCTTTAAAGACTTAGTAGTTATAGTAAGCAGAAGTAAGTAGGTGAATACAAAAACTAGAGTAGTTAAATAGAAAACCTTCAAGCAAGTTCCAGATATGGCAGCTAGTATAAAACCTTTGAGTAGACTACTTAAATTAGACAATGACTAAAGTTGAATGAGTGGCTAGTTGTACATTCTTTTTATAATTGCCTTCTGTAGTAATAAAGCATCTATTAGCCAAATATATTACTAATAAATTCCTAGATTACAAGTACTCATTTTAATATTTTTTTTTTAAAAAAAAAACAAGTTTAAAAAAACTAGCTAATAGAAATCTATTACTAAAAAGAAAAATAATATTAGTGAACCTTTGCTATTTTTTAAGATTTAATATATTACTTATTTAATGCTATCAAACAGAAAACAAATAGCAAAAATCAACAAACTTATTATATTTTAAATTAAAGCCAACTTTAAAATACTGCTAAAATATTTTATATTTCAATAGTCTTATAAACTAGAAAGATTACAAGTACTAATAATTGGCAATATGCTAAAAGCCAGGCTAATTTTAGTCTGAACTAAACTAATTTCAAATGATCTATTATAGGTTAAAGTAAAAAGAAAATAAATATCACACTTTTACTTAGTCAAAAAAGAAATATTACAATAAAAAAGGCTTTTTTTACATAGCTTATTAAGTCTAAAGTCTAGTATACAGAATAAAAAACCTATTTGCTAGTATAAAAAAAATTAAAGAAGAAATTTTTTTAAATTTAACTGGTTTTGAAATCTTGTAGACCTAGAAATTGATAAAAAGAAAATATTAGAAGTAACAGTTAAACTTACAGATAAGCTTTTAAGAAGATATAAAACCAAATCAATAAACTAAACTAACACTACAATACAGTCTTAAAACTACAATTAGATTCTTTAAAAAGTGATTTTAGATAAAAAGAAAAACATATTCTAATGCCTCTTCTATAGAGCCTTATTATTAAATATAGGCTTCATTACTTTGTATTAATAGACTTAGATGAATATTTATAGTATTTAAACAATATACAAACTATTAAATATTTAGCAATAAAATACAAAATTAGCAAGATAATTTGAACAAAAATTTCTAAAAACTGGCCAAATGGAAGTTATACCAGATTTGATAAATAAAGTCTTTTTTAAAAAAATTGTAAAAAGTACTAAAACATATAGTACAACTCTGTAGTTATATACATATTTTATATATAAAATTTGGTACTATTATACAGTATATAAATAAGATAAAATACAATATCTAGAGATAGCAATTGCTGCTATAGTAAGAAACAGAATTTTTAAAAAGATTAATTTGCTTTAAACCAAAAACCTAGTCAAATTAGTATATAAAAAATCTATAAATATTTAGTTTAAAATCTTTAATTTGTAAATAATAATTTTATAGTTATATTTAATAATAAAAAACATTACACATGTCTTATGATGCTTCACCTAGAATAGTTAAAACAAAAATATAAAAAATAATACAATCTATAAATTATTTTTAAAATTTTTTTTTAAAAGATAATATTAGTTAATAAAAAAATACTTCTAAATATAGAGAAGTATATTTTTTTTGTCTTTTTAATTCTTTTTTTTATTCTATAATATGTTTCTTAAAAATATTTGTTTTATTTATTTATTTATTTTTTTCTTTAAACAGTTACAACAATACTTTATTAAACTATTTGTAGCTATATATGTAAATATAAAATGTTATTTAACTTAAAAGTTTGCTATTATTTGGTCATCTAAATAGTCTCTAAATGCAATCTGCTGTACTAATTCAGTTAGAATAGGAAATTATAACTTATTTGACCTTTGTTTTATAAAAGAATACTGCCAATCTGAAAACATTTTTTTGTAAAAAAGAGAAAAAAAAAATTTAAAAGTATAATAATTTAGTAAAATAAATAAGTTATTAATTCTCCAAGTAGTAGGTTGTGAGTTCAAAACCTATTAATAGTAAAAATTTGGATAATTATTTATATAATACTTATATATTATAACAACAGCTTTTCTGTTAATAAGTTAGAATAAAATACCTATAACTATAGTTACACTAGCATAACTAACAGATTATAGCATATATATATAATCAAGATTATATAGAGGAATACAAATTAGTACCAGATGGTGCAAACATAAAATAAATTTCTGTAGCTATATAAATTTGTAAAACTGAAAAAAACCAAAGCTCATTTGAAAAAATCTAAATAAAGAGATAATTCAGATTTTTGATAGTACTACTGTAAAGACTAGATTTAGGAAATAGACACCAATATGAAAAAGCTGAATTGGCAAAAACCTCAAGATGTGTAGTACTATTAACCAGATCATCAGAATCAAATCAGAAAAAAATAATATTAGGCTAGCTCAATATATCAAAAACAGGTCACAGTTCTACTAGACTATTTGAATTAGGAGTCTGGAGTTAAAGCAGAGATATACTAGAAGTACTAGAGATATGCTATAAAATAGATATTAAAGTTTAGATAAACTCTACAAGAGCTAGTCTTGTTAATGTTCTATAAAATGAGTAGTTAGTTAACAAAAAGACACTCCAAGACCTTACAGTTAGATGATGTACTCTAGAATGTATAATGACTTGACAAATATACAAAAAAGAAAACTAAATATTGGGTTAGACAGCATTTAGTTATACAGAAACCAGGTGTTACTTATTTGAATACAGTATAAGAATTAAAATATTTAAATAGATATTCTTCTAGTAAATTACAAGTATGGTAGCTAGTATAAAACTCTTGAACAAACTACTTAAATAAGTAACCAAAAGTTATATATATAACTAGTTGTACACTTATCTTGTACAAGTCATATATAATATATTAACTAAAACACAAATAAAAATAGTAGTTATCAATAATATTAACCTTAGCAAAATAAAAAAAATTTAAAATTAGAAAAAAAGAATGAAAATAGTAAATAAAATAAACTAACAAAAAAAAACAAAACTAATCTATAAGAAAAATAAAGAAAAAACTATTAATAGAATAAAAACTCTATTTTACAATTACTGCTTATTACAATATTTTCATATTTTTATAAGTTATAACTATTCTCTAGAAACTAAAAATTTTTAACCAAAATGAAAACTATTTTGCTTATAAGACAAAGTTTAATACAGACACTTTTTATATAAAAGAAATCTTTAAGTAATTGAAATACTGTACTAAGATTTGAAGTACATTTAAATAGTCCAATTTTTTATAAATCTCTGTAATTATTTTTTTAAAAAAAATATTATATATATGATCTTGAAATATATGCATATTTTAATATATTTTTAGTCTTTCTAATTTAAATTTTTTTCTAATTTGTTTTATGTAATTAATTAATTTATATATTTGTTATATTTCTTATTTACTATATTTAAACAAATACATAATTGTAAAAAAAAGTAATGTATAATGGCAACCTTTTGACAAGGTAAGCCAAATTCTCATTTTTTTAAAAAAAAATAAAAAAAGAATGAAAAGAATATTATTATTATAACAATGATCTAAGTTAAGAAGAATTTTTCTAATTGTTCTTCTTTTTCTTCTGTTTTTAATATTTTTAACTAAAAAACTAATTTTATCTTTATTTACTTTTAGAATATCTTTTCAATTTAGATACTAAATATGCAAGAAATTCTGCCAGACAAGAAACTTAATCCAAAGTAAGAACCACTCAAGTTTTATCTGCTTTTCAGTATTTTATATATTTAAGTTTTGTTAATAACAAGTTTACTTAGTATAAAACTAAAAATATTATTCACTTTGGAATCAAAGTCTTCAATCTACTTTCAGTACCAATTTGGTCTAGATAATTGCTGTAAAGAATTGTTTTTTTTATAATAAATATAAAATGCTTGTTTTATTTATTATAATTATATATATTATAATTAAAACATATATATTTTGTGATTTTTATAATATAAAATTAAAATTCTATTAGCTTTTGCTTTATTTAAGACATACTTGGTTATTATTTTCTAAATTGTCATCAAAACACCTTTGCAAATCTTTACAATACATTGTTTGCTTGAAACTTAAATTAATTTATCTTCTATTTATTACAAAAGTTGATACTAATAAAAAATTATAAATATTTAAATTACCTCAACACCAAAAAAAAAATAAAAATAAAAATTTAAATTATTTTGAATTAAATTTAATGAATATTTCGATTATTTTAGGTTATGTGAAAGGCTTTCGTTTTATTTCTTTTGTTTGTCAAACTTAATTGGAAACTTGTGAGAAATCACGGGAATAAAAGTACTTTAACGTGTATAAAAAATCAAATCAGCTAAGCCACTGTAGATCATCAACGAATCTCGGTTAGATTGTTAGACGCCAGTATATTAAAAGTGGCATTTTATACAAAATTTTGAGAAAGTGAAAAATTTGACGGCGATATCATGAATAACGCAGATAACGTAACGACAAATGACGATTTAAAAATTTCAGGCAACAAAGAATAACAATATTGATATTGAAATATTTGTATGTAAAACGCAAAGTTTATTATTAAATTCTACTTATATTTTTCAATTATTAACCTCAACAATCTTAATTTATCAAAAAAAAAAAAAGTAGTTTTCTAAGCACCAATTTCAAATAGTTCAAATAAAAATTGAGGAATTGTTCTTTTTTGTTCAGGTTTTAAATTTTCTATATATTTCTTTAAAGCTTTTGATAATGTTTGATCCCGCTGTTTCAAAATATCCAAAATTTTTTCTTTTGGTAATTGTAACAAGAATCGAAAATTATTTGGTTGTACCTATTATAAATGTTAATTGTTAGAGATGAACGAAGAATTAAAGAAAGTTTAATAATTTGAATTAAAAAAAATTACCTTTAGGCAAAATTCAGTAACATATAAAATAAACCCTTTACGCAAAACCTCATTTTCCCATATGTGTGAAATATGTCTCGATAACATTTCATTCACAAATCCACCCAAAGCGTGATATGCTCTTACAGCTAAAGTTACCTGTTCAATAAATTAAACATGCAAACGGAAAGAAATATTATTAAGAGTAATAGAGATTAAGAGTAATATAATATATTATTCAAAAAAATTTATTTACCGTTCTCATAAAAGTAGTTGGTAACTCGCTTTGTACAAATAACTGTTGCAATACTGTTCCCAATGTTTGTTGATTAAATATATCGGGTAATAAGAAACATATATGGATAGCTAGTGATGGGGATAATCATGATCATAATAATAATTAAAAAATTTTTTTCTTTTTAATAATAATAAATAATTTTATTTCTCACCTTCGACTGACTGTTTTAATGATACGCCATCTTTATCCATTTGATGTAATGAAACTAGTAATTCACTCGGCGTCATTGGTGTGGCACCATTTTGTGGTGGAGTCAAAATTTTTCGAAAAACTATTTTTACTATATCTCGTTGTTTATCTGTTGCATCAAGAGTAGCAATCACCTTAGGAAGATTTCGCATGATTTCACCCTTTATATCAATTATTAAAAATGTGAATTATCACATTTATTTTTTAAAAGATATTTATTCCATTTAAAAATCAAATTTACCTTTTCAAAAAATGCAATTATAGGGAAAAGAAACCTTCCATCCAAATTCCTTTGCATTATAACTGATTTAGCAGTATTAACTAACTGAGCAGGTGGTGTTGCTATATTACATATTAAAAATATTAAAAATATTAAAAATATTTAAATATTTAAAATATTTAAAATATTTAAAATATTAAAATATAATTAGGTTAGCAAACAAAATATTAATTACATTGATTATTAATTAACCATTACCTTGTTTATTCGTATAAACCACCAACATCTTTAAAATAAAATCTTCAGTGCCATCTGGAAAAGTACGGAAAAGGTTTAATATCCCATTAATTCCGATCGTTTCAACCATTTTTGATGCATTTTTTCGAATTAATATTTGCATTGATTCAGGTGTATTGACGTATATTGAAAGTAATCTTTAAGAAAAAAAATATTTATTAGGCAATCTAATGTAAATGTTTATATATAAATGTATTAGATAAAAGAAATTTAACTTACTGATCAAATAATTCACTTTTCTTTGAACATAGAGAAAGAAATAAGTCCAAATGACGTTCAACATCTTGAATATTCCATTTTAATGGTTCGTTTTCTTCCTCTGTATCCATTTTTGTGTCACCCATATTACCAACATGATAATGATAATCAAATAATGGAGGCGGACACTCATCACAAAGTTGTTTTAGAGATTGTAATGCAAATGATTCAACATTTGGACTTATTGTAGGATGTTCAGGAAACCATTTGTTTGCTGTAGAAATTGCTGAACTTCGAGTCCTGATGTCTAGTATGTAATAGTTTTTACTGAGTGATCAAAATGATTAAATTATGTGTAAATTCAAATAAACAATTTAAAACTAACCCGTATGTAAGCAATATGCTAATAAAATTTTCATACAAAATGGTCGAGAAGGAGGACGTTGATCAATTAGTTCACTTAAAGTGTGGTAACCTAAAGACATCCTATATATAATTCATAATAATTTATAATATAAATAATAATTATTGTTATACATTATTATAAAATCAACTTTTACAAACCTATCAGGATCATTCAAAAATATTTTTATACGATCTACAATATCTTCTTGTAATTCTGGAACATTTAATAAGAATTGAGTAAAAAAAAGTCTATCCTCAAGAGTTGGCATAATTCTATCAAGTAATCTACTAAGCCAAAGCACATAATTTGGTTTCTAAAAGTATATATAAATGGTTACTATAATATTCTATTATAAATTAACATGAAAAATATTAAAATTATTAACAAGGACTCACATATGATGGGTCCTTTGATAACATGATGGAATCATGATACCATTCTTCGTCAAACCAAGTTAATGCGAATTCCGACCTGATATTAATTATCAAATTAAATAAACTTGTATGAAATTAACATTATGTTTTACTATTAACTTTATTAACCTGTTCTTAAAGTCTTCAAGAATAAATTGAACAATCATTTCTCTTAATTCATCATAAGCTTTTTTTGTATTTTCAGAAGAGATCTCAAGACCTCTTGTCAATAATCTTGAAGCCATCATATGTATTTGACTTTTGGACAACCTTTTACCATTGGATAAAGTTGTGAGAATAACGTCGGATCGCTTTCCTTTCGCATCTGATGATAACATTGACTCAATTTTCAAAATATTTTTAAGAACATTTTTAATAAATAAATGACATTGATCTTCTGATAATGTTTCAGGAAGTGGAAGTGCGTAAGGTTGAAATTTAAAGGTTGGAATAGATGGTGGTAAAGGCTGAGGTTCTTTTTCAGGTTTTATATCAGTTTCTTTACTTTCATCTTCAAGAATATCCATTGATTGTTCTTGAGGTACTTCAATATTCACCGTAGCGACATCATCAATTTCCATATCATCATCATATAAAGGGGGCGAAATCTCACGTTTTATTGTAGAGTCTTCTGACTGAATCACATTGGAAGATTCAGGTTTAATATGTACTATTTCATCTGTCATAATGACAGGGGGGGGAGAAGGTGATTTAGGAGTTACATCTCTAGTAAATTCTAATCGTGGATCAAGAGTTTTACGATTTCGTCGTTCTTGTTTAGTATTCGGAGGTGGTGTTGAAGAAGTTCGAAGTGCCGCTAATCGTGCTTCACGTTGTTGCAAAGCCTATATACCAAATAATTTACCAAATAATTTCAAATATTTAGAAATTTATAAACAAATAAAATAATAATAAAATAATAATAGCAAACCTGTTTTGCTTGATTAAGTCTTTCTTGTGGAATAGCTTGCAGAGCCAAATGTATCACATCAACCACGAAAGGTAGTGCGAATTGTGTAGGATCAATTGGTATCATCGATGATCCTTGAGCTAATTTTTGAAATATTTTATTAATAACATTTTTGTAATGAAAACATTAGGTGTACGTAAAATTACTTTAAGTACCGGAAAGTCGAGAACCTCCAAAAATCTTTTGCATAGAACTTTTAGTACCATCTTCCATTCCTTCTTTCTGTTGTAAAAGTCTCCGATATTGTCTTGGAAATTTAGTAGGATCGTTCTTACCACCTAGCGTAAGTATGGTATCGAAAATTTCGTTCGCATATGAAGAGGACTCGAACACTGGGATTCTATGTATGAATGGTATGTATAGTATGTATATAATATGTATATATATTATATATATATATGTATTTAAATTTATTATTAATACATTTGCAACAGAAATAATACCTTAAAAGTGATGTTAATTGGATCTTTATTGCTTTTTTCACACTTTTAAATGGAATTTCAGGCAAATGATCCGGAGGATTATTTTTCCACTTTTTAACTATCTTAATTAATGGATAAATATATTGTGGTCTAGATCTAAGAACAGGACCTAATGCGTTTATTATAGCAGTTATTACGCTACTTGATCTACAAAGCAAAAAACAATTTTAGAAAATTAAAAATGTCAAAGAAAAAAATTTAACTTTTATAAAATAAATTAATTGTTTTACTAACTCTTTATCCAATAAATTGTACATTCCATTTATAATAGAAATTGCTTCTTTCTCAAGCATTAACGGATTCAATATCGGATGTGATGGTGGACATAAAGCCAAAGAAATATCATTTTGTGGTATCACCTATAAACGATCAAAATCATTTAATGATTAATTATACGTATGATTATTGATGAAAAAAAAAACTTACCTGAGAATCATGCACATGACGCGATTGGACTTTTACTATAGACTGTAAATACTTTACGGCACAAATCTTGATCCCTTGTTTGGTACCCGGAGAATCGAAAAAACGCATGATTTGCGATTTAATCGATATCGCTGTACTCCAAAGTAGTTCAGCATCATGTGTATTTTCGCATCTACCACGAACAAAAAAAAAAAAAAAAGGATTGATGGGAGGAACAAACGAGTCATGTGACCGATCGAAAATACAGTAAAACCGGATACATATTAAGAAAAAAAGAAAAAAGATCACTAACACTCTTTCGTAAATCAAAGGATAAACACCGGCATTCCAAAGAATCGCCTTCTTAACAATGTTTGTTGATTCTTCAAAACTAATTGTATATCCTATTGTAGGCATAATTTTTCCTAAACCTTTAATGGCACAATTAATTATTTTCAAAAATTAAGGACAACTTTATTATCTATTTTATTACATTTTTATTTATATATATCTGTTTTGTTTTTTTCACTATTCAGTTAAAACAATCTATCTATTATATAAATAGTAGGTTTGTTTACGTTAGCAAGACATTTAACAAAGACAAATTGTCGTATGGCTATATCAAATAAACATTAAATAACGAACGATCTTAATTCAAGAACATTCGATAATTTAAATATGATAATGCCACTTATTGCACTATATGTAAATTCTTAAATTATTTTGTTGTTAAAAAAAATTGGTATAAAACTAGCAATAAGTCAGTCACAAGAGTAATATAAATAAATAAATGCGTATAATAGTATAATAAACTGAAACTGAAATATTTTTTTTTAAACAAAAAGGATACTATCTTTTAATAAAGATCTACTCAAACCAGAAGCAGTGAATGCAAAATCTAAAAAATCTATAGTCCATTCTCTAATCTCAAACATTGAATCTTTTAAAAATCCACAAATTATTTGAAATAAACCGGATTCTAAAAGATGTTTTTCATTTTCGATTATTTGTTGAAATGAAATTAAAGCTTCTATTCGTAATTGTGGATCTTTTTTATTATCGGATGCACGATCAAATAAAACATTTATTCGATTATCTTGAATTGTATATTGAGTATCCATTTTTTCCATTTTATTTTTTTTATACGTAAGAAATTAATGAGTAAGAGATCATGATTGACAAGTCTACCTTATTTATATAGATATTTGGTCATATGATGGATGATTAGTCCATTTTAGTAAATTAAACACGAGTTACTCACGTGTGTCGTGTAACAATTATTTTCTAAAGCAATATGCAATAGGCATACGTAAGTACATACGTACTGTTACATATCAGATATCAGTTATCAGTTATCGTTGGGTTCTCTTTTATAAATGTAATGAACTTGACGAGTCATAAAGAATTATTTCAACGAAAAAGTCAAAAAGTCAAAAAGTTAAAAAGTCAAAATTATTATTATAGATAGTATACGGATAAAATTATTGTTTTTATAAAGATATATTCGAATTTATTAAATAGATATACACAATAGAGATGTGGAAAAGAAAAAACAGATTTAACGAATGCTAATTAAAGGTCACGTAAATTATTTACTTTCTAATCCTAATCATTATAAATGTCAAGATAAAAAGATCAATTGTATCAAGATTAACGAAGGATTAAAATAGTATATGTACAAAAAAACACTTTGTTTCTTTCAACATCTAACCGACTGACCGACCGACTGACCGACCGACCGACTGACTGACAGATAGACAGACAAACCGACCCAGAATACTATTAAAAATAACAGCAAATAATTTGATTCCTTTACAATCAAAGTTATATTTATAAGGGTAGTTACCCGTTCGTAATGTTCGTTAACTACAATATGCCCCCCTATAAAATTATTCTAATGTACAAAAAAAAAAAAAAAATTTTTACTTCAAATATTTTTAACCTACTATTCTAGTTACATCATAGCTCACCCAACGAAATAAAAATAAAGTACTTTTGATGAAATGTCTATGTGAAAAATTTTTTTCTATTACTAACTTGAATTTCACCCATTTCAACGAAACTAATTTATTTTAGTGTGAATGTGCTAATCAGAATTTAGTTTAGTTGATTAAAATTAAATAAAGAAAGAAAAAAAAAAAAAAAAAGAAAGAAAAAGACACAAAAAAAATTTTATACAGCATTGTCGTTCACAGATAGTTATATATATATATACATATATATATAATTGTAAAAAAAAAAAAAAAAAAATAGTTTATTAAACTATTATTAATCAACTATTGATTCATTTCCTGATTCTTCAACCATTTTCTTATCATTCCTTCCTAAAGCTTGATAAACAGCACTTCGTTCTTGTAAAGCATATGAATTCTTTGGATCACGAATTAATACCTTATTAAAATCAGTCAATGCTTCATTATATTTTTCCATTGCAAAATAAACCGAACCTCTATGACATAATGCTTTTGTTATATGACTAACATTAAACGCTTTATCTTTAAAATTTTCTAAAGCTTTATTTAAATCGGTTAAAGCTTTTTTATAAGATTTTAATGCTCTATAAATACCACCTCTTAATGATAAAGGATAACCCCATTCCGGATATTTTTCCAATACTTTATTTAAATCTCTTAAAGCATCTTCACCTTTTCCCATTGCTAATAAAGTTTCAGCACGATGAGTTAATGCCCAACGATTTGATGGATCTAAATCTATAGCAATATTTAATTGTTCAAGAGCTTCATCATATCTTTCTTGAGCATTATATATAGAACCTAAAGTTTCTAAGGCAAAAACATATTTAGGATTAATTCCTAAAGCATGTTTTAAATCAGCAATAGCTTCAGTAAATCTTTTTAACATTGAATAAATAGCACCACGATGAGAAAGAGCAAATATACTATCAGATTTTAATTCAATTGCTTCATCAAGATCTCTTAAAGCTTCTTCATATCTACGTAAAGATCTATTAATAGCACCACGACTTTGTAAAGCTTCTATATTATAAGGATTAAGTCTAAGAGCTTCATTTAAATCATGTAAAGCTTTATCACTTTGATTTATCGTTCTATAAATTTCACCACGACTTGATAAAGCACGAACATGCCTTGAATCAATTTCTAAAACTTTAGTAAAATCTTGAATAGCTTTATCATATTTTCTAGTTGAACGATAAATTTCACCACGACTTAAAAGTATATCAATATCATTTGGGAAAATTCTTAAAGCTAAATTATAATCTATTAAAGAATTTTCAATTGAACCTAAAACTTGATTAATTTTTCCTCTACCTTTTAATAAAGAAAAATCAAAAGGTTCAATTTGTAAAGCGAAATTCATATGAGAAAGAGCTTGTTCACGATCACCTAAACCATATAAAATTTCTGCAAGACCTTTATGAGCGGAAAAATTTTTTGAATCCAATTGAAGAACTTTAGTAAAATCGATTAAAGCTTCTCTATCTTTTTTTAAAATTTTATAAACATTTCCACGTCTTTCTAAAGCGAATAAATTTTCATTACTTTGTAAAGAATTATTAAAATCCAAAAGAGCCAAATCATAACGACCCATAAGTCTATAAATTTCACCACGATTCATTAATATAGAAGAAGTATTTTCAGGATCAAAATCTAAAGCAAGTTCTAAATCCGATAAAGCATCTTGATAAAGATTAAGAGAGCAATAAGCTTTAGCACGACGTATTATAGCCAAAATATTTTTTGGATCAATTTCTAAAACCGAATCCAAATCACTAATAGCATCAGAAAATCTTTCCATAGCACTATAAACTTCAGCACGAGTTCTTAAAGCGAAAATGTTCTTTTTTAATTTTAATGAAGTATTAAGATCTGATAAAGAATCTTCAAATCTATTTAATCTACGATAAACTTCACCTCTAAGAGAATAAGCACGAGATCTTCTTGGTTTCTTTGCGATAGCTCTATTTAAATCACTAATAGCTTGATTCCAACTTTCAGCTTGAAAAGAAGCATAAGCTCTATAACAAATAAGAGAATAACTTTGAGGGAATAAGGATAAAACTTGAGTAAATAAACTAATAGCTTCATTAAATTGCATAGCTTCTAAAGCCTGAATAGCTTTTAAATAAATTGGATGATGATCCTTTGATTTTTTTTTGAAAGAATCGAATAATTTATCAGTAGGTAAAGGAATAGAAAAAGTTAAAGATTTTGTAGAACGAGAAGGATCATTAAGATGATAAGATCTATCAATAATAGTAGTAGTAGTAGCAGTAGTAGTAGGTTTAGGGGAATGACGATGATTTGATCTAGAATGAAGCAAATCATCATTAAAATAAGATTTCATGGTTGGTGAAACGGAACGACTAATTTGTGGTATATGAGTACGATTATAAGACATGATAGGAGGGGATACAGGACGACTGATTAAAGGAGCATCAGAAGGAGAAATAGTAGATTGTTGAGATTCATAAACGGAATGTAAAGTATCTAAAGAACGTTTATATTCATAATCACGAAGTCTATCATCATAAGAAAAAGTTTTTTCATGTCTTTTTGAAGATTGAGAATAAGTAGGAGGAGGGGTATAACTAAGAAATTTACGAGATTTATCTTCTTTTATACGCATTGTAGAAGGTTTAAATTTTAATCTAGGATCATCCAAGGTAGGAGAGTTTAAAGAGGGTATTTCAGGGGAAGAAATATATTTTTGGGAAGAATTTAAATTTAAATCATTACGCCAACTATTATTTCCATTGGTATTAGAATTATTATTGCGTAATAAAGAAGGATTACGAGATTTCTCCTTGGACTTTATATTCCAATCACCATCATAATAAATTGAATCATCTGATATGTTATTAAGTCTTTGATTAGCTAAAATTGGGGAATTATTATTCATGGGAGTAATAACATCATCATCGGTAGTTAATACTTCAGAAGTGTTACTATAAGAAGATCGATCATCACTTATGTAACCAGTAGAGGAAGAATGTAAACGAGAATGATAAGTATTAAGAATTGTTTTATCGGATTCGGAGGGGGGAGTATAATTTGCTTCGATAGGAACATTTTGTCTTCCATTTGAACCAATTATATCAGGTCTTTGAGGACTAATAGGTTCATTTTGCCATGAATTGACGTTAACACCCGTTCTTATATTGGTATGAAAACCGTTATTATGAGATAAAATTTGATTTCCATTATTTGGAAATTGATATCGTTGTACTTCAGTCATTTTTTTATCGAAAATTCTTATTAAAAGATCTTGTTAAAAGATTCTTGTTAAAAGATTCGATTATTGTTAAAAGATTATTGTTAAAAGGTTATTGTTAAAAGATTATTGTTAGAAGATTCTTGTTAGAAGATTCTTGTTAGAAGATTCTTGAAAGATTATTGTTAAAAAAAAAAAAAGAATAATAATGATTATGATAATATTTTCTTTTTTTTAAAAAAAAAAAAAAGTCTAAATGGAAAAAACTAGGGGATATAAAAGCAAAAATTTTCGCACATGTGTGCGTGTCGAATCTCCTTGCGTCTTGGCAAAATCAAATGTGCATGAAGTAATATATACTTTTTTTTTATATATTGAACTTTATTAACAGTAACGTTATATGAAAAAGATATAATGAAGATGATATATATAAATATATATATATATCGAATGTGAGAAAAAATGATGATGAAAATCAAATATAAAGTCAAAATTTATAATTTCTATTTTACAGTTTGAGTGAGCATTATATAGCATTGTAATTTATTAATAGAACCAATCTATTTTAAACAAGTCACGTGATTAAAGAAAATCTTCAAACCTAAATTTGGAACTAACCAACCAACCGGTAGTTTTGTTTATCCGAATTAAATTAGAAATATAAAATAGTCGGAACTTCATTAAATTTTGAAAGTTACATTGTTAAAGAAATGAACTACCCATAATGGGATTAAGACCTTGGAACTCCGTAATAGATAATGGATGGGAACGTTTGACTAGGTTTTACTAGGTTTTACTAGGTAATATCACAGTTATATCATTTATTATATCATTTATATTATTTATACACATGCAGGTTGCTCATCATTTCATTAAACGCATTATTAAGATTAAATAAAGATCAATGATAAGGTCATTGATACAAATTTTACTGTACATGAGATATGTAAATATTTATATATATTATATATATATATATATGTATATATATACAAAAAAGAGCATTCATTTTTTATTACTTTAGGATAAATACATGATATATTTAGTGCATTAGTTTTATAAATATAAGTATAAACTACTAAAAAAGGATAAATAGTAACTTATAATTTTACAAATCTTTTTGAAGCTTCTACAAATCGAAGCCTTTATACGTATGCAAAGCCTTTATAGGTATTTTTATAGGTATTTTTATAGGTATTTTTCTAAATAATTAGATACTTTATCTCTCATCTCTTATCTCTCATCTTTCATCTCTCATATATACCATCTTTCGCCATCATTCGACATATGACATTCTATTTCGACATATAATCTCTGACATATTTATCCCTCGACATACTTGTTTTGTCATAATTATGACGCAAATACAATGTCACTAAAATTTTATTTATTATTGGGTTATTATTAATTATTAGTAACGGTAACGGTAACGGTAACGGGTAATGCTTAAATTATTCCTTTTTACCGATAGGTAACACGAACATTTTCATTTGGAGACATTTTATTTATTTATGTAGAATTATGTACACATGATGACAAGCCTTATCGTATGTACGTACGTACATACGTATGTATTAACACATAACTGATAAACTACCTAAAATGGGATGTTTTTGTAATGAAAAATGTGTAATAATAAAATTTACAAATAATGACTTTAATATAAACCGACAATGAAAAATTGTTGAACAATGCCAAAAAAAAAATTTCATGTATGTATTGGGTCACGTTTAAAAGGATTAAAGATAAGATTGGTTGAAGGTTTGATTTCAAAGCGGAGCATAATGCCCGATTTCAAAATGACTATTATGACCAATATAACCAATCTTCTCTACCTATAGCTAATCTGGATTAACTTGTGACTAAATATTTACGAATTAAATGCAAAGTTATTAAAAAAGATATGCAAATTGGAATTACGTTAATGTTCTTGGATCATTGAGTCATATCGTTTCGAATAAACACGTTATTACATTTGAATTATGTGTGACTTAGTAGCATTCAAATTCTGCGAGGTAAAATCTTACCAATAATTATTTGCATATTGTGGGCTTCATTTAGTATTACTGTATGCGCATCAACTCGTTCGAAATTATAGTTTTTCGCTAAATGGTAAGTTCCAATTTCGCGTATCTTTATTTCCGAATCACCTAAAATTGTTTTGTTATTAGAATTTTCCTTAAACAATATAATAAAATTACTGTCGTGCAACAAATTTTCAATTTTAGCTTTCATTTTATTACAGTACATTACATGATTCTTTCGTTAAAATTTGTCTCTTAAATATGCACGTGTTCTTCCGGAAATAAACACCCCCCTTTGTTGCACATTTAGCACATTTTTTTGCGCGTAATTCTGGTCACGATCATTGTTAATCGTAATTGTGTGAACCAGGGGTGCTTATTTCCGGATATTATTTCCGGATATCATAGCAATAGAAATTACACACATAGTAATAGGTAATTACGCAAACTTAAACTCTATCACTATATGCTATGTTATAGGTTATGTAACTGGTAATAGGGGATGGATTACGCTCCTTGCAAAATGCTGTGCAATAAAAAGCATATCTCTAAATCAATTGTTGTCTGTTGCTATAATATCGATACAGCATTTAATTCGATTAGCATATAACCATTTAAAATACATTTCGTAATCGCTTATTGTTAATGTTTTCCACCAGCTTAAAATTCGGAATTCTGAATCGAATCAAAATTTCGATTAACTTAATTTTGATTAATTTTAACCTTTAGTACCACCCGAATTTGCCAACTTATTATTTGTATTTTTATTCAAATATATCTCTTCTAAAATTCAATTTTTCTAACTTTGTAACTATACTACTGCATAATCTGATCTAATCTTCACTATATTAAAAAAAAAGCCTCAAGTTATTTATATAGAGATAAATATAAATTAGGCTAATGGATAAATGCATATACGAATTTGGCTCTATTATTCCATACAGGGGACTCATGCACATAGTACGCACATATAGATCCGCAGGTGTTATAGTTATTTTACCATTTTTGTAATTTTAAATAATAGCCGGAACTATTTTTTTTGGTGTTAAACCAACTTATATATTTAAAACCTCATTATATATACCTCTTTACTTATAACTCATTACAATTTGGTCAATTTACCGAAATCTAGTTGATCAAAATTAATTATTTCATTACACGTACATGCATACCTATGTACCAGACCAGACCCTTCTCGGTGTAATGCGAATCATATACGTAGTAACCATAGTAACCGTAACATAAAGCATTCATATTCTAATTTAGGTAATTCAAATGATAATATAAAATTTATATAAATTCCTCGTTATAATATTTCATTTAAACAAAGGAAACGTTTCGTCTTTAACTACGTACTGCTTGTACGTACGTACGTACGTACGTAATAATGTAATTGCTAAAATAATTGCTAAAATTGAAATTCGTGTAACGCATATATGAGCGATTATTTATTTATTTGATTTTATTTATTTATTATTATATCGATATGTATCTGGTATAATATATAATTAAAGCTATGACTAGGTTAAATGCGCAGCATTCTATTCTATTATCACATATATAGATATCATTTATAGATGTGGTGGCGTTATATCCAATTAGTTAACAGAAGGTCACGCCATTCTACGTAGCACGGATTGTTAATAGGAGGTCACGCCATTCTACGTAGCACGGATTTAATTTTTTTTAGGCGTTATAATGCATATACCGTAACAAGAATAAAAAACATTCAAATTATTATCCTTACTACGTATATCGTTAATTTACATATGCTTTTTCCTTTTTTTTTAACATGTCAATTCTTGTTTAGACTAAATCAAGCACTGCTCATATCAAAAAATAAATATTTTTGATCTAGATTCGTATCAGAAATAAATTTTTGAACTATATCTGAACTTGCAAACTTTACGATAATCTGGGTTTATTTTTAAACCAAATAATAGGTTACATAAACTCTCTTAGTAACCGTAAATAAATAAATAATTTAAATATAATTTAATAAATTTTGTGAACGTGAATTTTTTTCTTTTTGGTTATCTTATTCCATATATAGTTATATAGTACGATATAGTTTAAAAAATCCGGTTCCCTTGAACAATTATTTCTCCGGTATTATCCCTATTTAGTGTTGTATCATCATCGGTGCCATTTGGGTAGTTTTGTTGCTGTACTGTAACTATCGCATCGCTACGTATCTCTACATATCATTACGCATCATTCCGTTGCGCCATCATTATATTGGTCATCATTACGTTGGTCATCATTACGTTGGTCATCATTACGTTGCGCTATCATTACGTTGCGCTATCATTACGTTGCGCTATCATTACGTTGCGCTATCATTACGTTCTTACTGTCTACTTTCCTCATCTCAAATCAAACATGTTTTCCGGATAGTTGGGTATAAAAAAATTCTCTTGGCCATTTAAACGTACTTTGCATTTAACCTATTTTTTTTCACATTAAGTAAAGCTACGTAATTCATTTAAATATACATATTTGTATAGATATTCAAAAAAGAAAATTATATCATTCGCCGCCATCATGATGCATCGCGATGCATTAGCTATTCCCTATTTAAATTAGATTAGGGTAGGATTAGTGTGATAGCTTAAAAAAAACAAAACCTTTCTAATCCAAAATTTGGCAAGGAATTTTTCTTTGTTAAAAAAAAATTTTATTCTATATGTGACCTTTTTAAAAAATTCATTATTGTTTGAATTTTTATATATATTATACTGATAAGTCGATTAGAAACAATGTATTGCTTTATTCAAAATTACTGTACGTATATATAACTTCAAGTTTTATATTTTTGTTTTAAAATTTAAACCTAATTTAGTATTCTAAAAATTCTAATCTTTACTTTATTTTTAGTACTAAACCTATTAAACCTTAACCTTAAAGTTTAATTTTAAATTTTATAAAATGCATTTATAATGTTTATAATGTTTATATTTTTTAAAAAAATTTAAAGTTAAAGTATAATTACAAACTAAA